CAGGAGGCGCAGAAAATCTTCAAAGCCAACCACCCCATGGACGCCGAAGTTACTAAGGCCAAGGTTACTAAAGTCCCCTTTATCCCAGGGCTGTGTTTGCCGGGCCACTTCTCTGAGCCTCTGTTTTACCATCTCTAAAGCGGGCCACTTCCACCCCCAAGGGTTTGGGGAACTGGGCCGCCGAGTGGGAACTAAAAGAGCTCAGGCCCTCTCTGACCGCTGCTCCCCTCCCTCCAGCTTCTGGGGTTTGGCTCTGCTCTCCTGGACAATGTGGACCCCAACCCTGAGAACTTTGTGGGGGCTGGAATCATCCAGACGAAAGCCCTGCAGGTGGGCTGTCTGCTCCGGCTGGAGCCCAACGCCCAGGCTCAGGTGAGTGTTGGTGTGGGAGGTTTTGAGGCCTGCTGGCAGGCATGGCAGGCAGGACTCCTGGCGGTCACCGTGTGCACTCTCTGTGCCCACTTCTCCTGCCGTCACTGTTCTTGTATTCACTTCCCCCGCTGTGACCCTCTCTCACTTCTCTTTGCCTTCTTTCCTCCATCTGTGTGCATCTGATTCCCTCCTGTCTGCGTCCTCTGGTCCTCCCTGGTCCGTCTTTGCATGTCCTTGCCACCTTTCTTGTCCCGTCTACCTTTCATCCCATCCCTCCCCTCTGGCTCCTCTGTTGTTTTCCTTCCCACCTCCCGGCTCTCTTATCACCTTTCTGACCTCTTTCTCCTTCTCGCTCCTCTCCCCTGGACCCCTGCGTCCTGGGCCCTCTACCCCCTCCTATGTGGCCTGCCCCATGCCCTCTGAGTCCTTCCCCCAATGCCCCCCAGATGTACCGGCTGACCCTGCGCACCAGCAAGGAGCCCGTCTCCCGTCACCTGTGTGAGCTGCTGGCCCAGCAGTTCTGAGCCCTGGACTCTGCCCCCGGGGATGTGGCCGGCCGGGTAGCCCCTAGGACTGAGGCAGCTTTGGTGGATGGGGTGGATGGGGGACCTCCACTGGTGACAGGGAAGACCCCAGGGGTGGGGGGATGCCTGGGACCTTCCTCCGGCCTTTTGTATTTTTATTTTTGTTCATCTGCTGCTGTTTACATTCAGGGGGGTAAGGGGGAGCCCCCTCCCTCCCTTTCCCCCCCAAGCACAGAGGGGAGAGGGGCCAGGGAAGTGGGTGCCTCCTCCCCTCCCCCCCCACCCGTCGTAGCCCCTCTTACCCCTCCCCATCCAGGGGCTGTGTATTATTGTGAGCGAATAAACAGAGAGACGCTAACGGCCCCACGTCGGTGTCTGTCACCCATCCTCAGGTGATCAAAGCAGTGGGGTGAGGGCATGCAGAGTGTGGGTGGCTAGGCTTCGCAGCCCGTGAGTGGGACTCTGTGGAGAGACCAGCAGCAGCAGCCGCCGAAGCCCCAACTGCAGGGCCACCAGGCGCAATCCTGTGCCTGGCTCCTCGGACCCCAATACCAGGTAGCAGGCTCTTGGCAGCTGGGCCTGGTGGACCACATCTTCTGCCTTCTCCGGTGGCCCTGGCTCTGGGGAAAGGACAGGGAGGGCTGAGATGACCTTCAGAAGCCACACCCCAACCTGGGCCTAAGTTCTGAATCTGCAGGGGTTTCTCAGCACAGGCTTTGGGGGGCTTCCGCCAGGAGAGGGCCTTGGAGCTCCATTGTCTGTCAGCAATCTAAAGAAGGCCAAGGAAGCCAGGCACGGTGCCTCATACCTATAATCCCAGCACTTTGGGAGGCTAAGGTGAGAGGACTGCCTGAGTTCAAGGGTTCAAGACCAGCCTGAGTAATATGGCGAGACCGTGTCTCTACAATAAATCAAAAACTTAGCCAGCACAAGCCCACAGTTCCAGCTCCTTGGAAGGCTGAGTTGGAAGGATAGCCTGAGCCTAGCAGGAGGCTGCAGTGGCCATGAGCAGCATTCCACTGCACTCCAGCCTGGGTAACAGAGTGAGACTCTGACTCCAAAAACAAAAAAAAAAAGGCCAAGGAATTTCTCCCTCAGTTCACCCTCTTCCCACCCAGCTTTGGCCCCATTTTTCTAGGGATATTGTGTGTGGCCCCAGGTGAGTCTCTTAGCAGTGGCAAGCAGGAAGGGAACACAGTAGCTTGAGTGACCCTTGCAATGACCCCACCCCACTGTACAGGGGGAAGCAGGAGGAAAGAGTGTGGCCCTCTGAGATGGAACTGTTGACCACTGTGCTGCATTCACCCGGGGCTTCAACAGAGTTGTAGCGGCTGCCTTTGTCTCTGAGACTCTTTGGGTTTAATGACCACGTTTCCTTCCTATCCTGGCATCTGTGAAATCCTCCCACATTTCTCCAGATTCTCAGCAAAGCCTGTGCCTTGGGGATTAGTGCAGAGTGACAGGGTATGTGAATGTGGGGGCCAGATCCCCGGTGTTTGAATCATGGCTCTACCACTTACTAGCTGAGCCTCAGTTTCCCCATCTGTAATATGGGAATGATTTCACAGGATAGTCCTAACCTGTGAGGATGAAGTTAGTCATCCCATATAAAAACACTGGCATAGCCGGGCTCGGTGGCTTAGCCTGTAATCCCGCGCCTTTGGGAAGTGAGTGGATTGCCTGAGCCTGTGGGTTCGAGACCCGCCTGGGCAGCGAGACCTCATCTCTACAATAAATCAAAAAATCAGCCAGGCGTGGTAGCGCATGCCTGTAATTCCGCCTACTCGGAAGGCTGGGGCCGAAGGATCGCCAGAGCCCAGCAGGTCGAGGCTGCGGTGGCTAGGAGCGGCCGCTGCACTCCGGTCTGGACGACAGAGTGAGACTCCAACTCAAAAAAAACAAAAACAAAAAAAACACTGGCAGGAGATGAGGTCTGTGTTAACTATTATTAACTCTTACCCAGGAGGTTCAGAAACCCAGAAGGATCTCCCTTCTCCCTATCTGTGTCTGTGCTCAGTTCAAGCAAAGCCACTACCTAATGCATACTGAGTTCCCCTTCCAGTTTCTCCAACCCCACCTCCTAGTCCCACTTTGTGTGACCCGGGACTCGGTGTGTCTGCTGCTGACCTGGTGGAAAGTGCATGGAGGTAACCAGACCATAGAAGTTACGGAGGAGGCGCCGGCGCTGTTCTGGAGAAGGCTCTGGTGGGAAGGAGGAGACAGGGTGATGGAGAGCTGCTCACTGGCCCGTGGCCCTCCCGGCCCTGCTCTTGTCCTCAGTCACCTTTATCCCTCAAGGGCTCCACAGTGAAGAGGCAACGTTTCAATTCCAGGTGGAGGAGTAGCAGCCTGTGGAAAAGGGGGTGTCATGGCCAGGAAAGCAGGGGTGAGGCCAGGTGCAGTGGCTTGTGCCTGAAATCCCAGCTACCTAGGAGGCTGAGGTGTGAGGACTGCTTGAAGTCAGAAGTTTGAGACCAGCCTGTTCAACATAGTAAGACTGTCTCAAAAAAAAAAAATTAGCCAAGTGTGATGGCATGCTGGTAGTTCAAACTACTAGGGAGGCTGAGCCAGGAGGATCCCTTGAGCCCAGGAGTTCGAGGCTGCAGTGAGTCATGGTTGTATCACTGCACTCCAGCCTGAGCGACAGAGCAAGACCATCTCAACATAAATACACTTAAAACTGAAAATAAATTTTTTTAAGTAGAGGGGATGAGGACCCCCAACCCATTCCCCCCATCTGAGCCCTACCCAAGGATGTCCGAGTGCAGGGGGAAGCCATCGGGCAGCGCTCGGGGTCCCAGCGGCAGGCAGGCCCGCAGTGGGTCCAGCAGTGGCTGCCACCAGCGATCCAGAAGCTGTAGGGGGCGTGGCCAATGGGGATGTGGTCAGGCACTAAAGAAGGGATGGCCAGAAGCAGGGGCGGGGCCTACAAGAAGAAGAGGGCGGAGCGAGAAGGGACGGTGGAAGAGGCAGGGATAGAGCGGGAGAGCAGCGGGCAGGGTGACGAGCGCAGTCCAGAAGGAGGCGGGGCCGCCAGAAGGAGGCGGGGCCGCCAG